CTTGTCACGTTTATTTTGTGCCAGGTATGCGGTAGGTGTCGACTCCAGCCATAATTGTCGTACAGTCCTAATAAAATAATTCCTGATCTCTCTAAACTCTAGCTCTCAAATTGAATTCAACTTCAAATCATGCTTTACATTGTTAACCAGATTTCCATGGTATTTTCTTTAATCATCCCGTCCACGTTCCGACCTCAAGGGGTTAGTCGAAGACCGTTTGACGAGGTTTTTTTTGGGGTTTATTATGGTATTTGGGTCATAACACCCAAAAGACAACTTAAGATCAACTAAGGATTACCAGGGGTCAAATTTTTTCAGTCAGGTTCAGAGTCCCCTGAGGTTCCTACTCAAAAGGATTCTAGTGTCAAGAGGTTCTTACTGAAAAATATTACAAATCCGATTAATAGCCTACTTTCTATCCCAACTTAAAGGTCCAGAATTGCTTTTGGCTATAAGAACCGGAAGGTATCGCCGGAGGAGTTAGTTCGACCGGGTTCTTTTTGAGGCGGTGGGGACTAGTATTGCTTGCCGCCATTAAATTAATACGCCCGCGCTCTGTTTTTGCGTAATTTGCCTATTTCAGATCTGAAAGAGTGTTTTTCCAGAGCCAATAGCTTCCGATTCATTCGTAAAATTTGGTTCAAATTCTAGCACATGCTGTATCATGCCACTACCCAGCATGTCCCCAATTAAGGCTCACCACGTTCTATGGGGGCCGAGAAAAGAGTACCGGAATTTAGGGGTGGGTGTTTTGACAAAGGGCATAAAACCGGAAATAGGTCCAAGATTTTATTACCGAGATCCGATAGGGCTAGTTGCATCGCCAAGAACCGTCATTGATTGCTTCCGATGAACCTGAGGAGTTACGTTTTTTGCATGCCCGGGTCAAATTATCTCTAGTTGAAAGCTTAGGGAAGGTTAAGCTGTGCTCCCGGATTGTGGGAAGAGAAAACGTTGAGAGCAGCACTCTAAAATTGACAGGAAAAATGGTTGGGTTTTTGTGTTTTGAAGTAGCTGTAACAAGCGGCTGAGAAACTTCTTGTAGGAATACTAACATTTGTTGGTGAGCAAAGCATAAACGAAGGGGGTAAAAACAAAAACCAACCAGTTCAGTATAGACTGTATATATTTGATAAAAGTACATGGAGCATATTTTGAAGGAGCCATCACAAAATATTAATTCAACAAAATGCAAAAACAACCCAAGAGTATTTACATTTTGAAGGTTACTGAAGATGAATTCTCTTTCGGAATCCTCGATAACGTTGTTGAAAAGGCAAAAACCCTAAGATTGCTTCGTATTTCCAGATACATTATCAACGATTGTTGATTAAAAGTTCTTTCTACTGTTTTCTGTCAATTACGAACCTTGCTTTTAGCAGATCGTGAGGGGAACCTATCAGCACAGCTTTTTCTCGGCCACGTGCTGCAAGCAACTTTCAATTATACTGCTGTTTACTGGCGCCTGCTGGTTTTTGGTATCTTGTCTCACATTCTGAATAAATTTTCGTGCTTTGGGTTGACCAAGGAATACTTCGCGGATTTGACCATTGTGTGACGAATACAGATCATCGCCAAGACAGGATTCCGGTTACCTTCCGTTTGTGGAAGTGCCATCTCGGACACTTCCAGTAACTGTTTTCCACTTTGATCTCTTGCTTTTCGATATACACGGGGCGATCAAAAACCAGAGTACTACGGTTGCGCTGCGTCAACTTCCGAGAAGTTTGCATCTTTTCTGTTTAAATTTTACCTAATACGTCAACACAAAAAAGAATACAACGTGAAAGACTATTTGAAAGCACGTGAAACACTTCCTTTATCTCTTTTCTGGCCCACTTTTTTTTCTCGCACCCAGTTTTTCATGCTAATCAAACCGAGCAAAAAAGTTTTTTCTGTTTTCTATAGTCCTAAACCGCAAAACAATTAAAATACTAAGCTATTATACAAAATAACGGTAGTACGAGAAAGCCAATTTCTTAAGATGGTTTTTCAGTCAAGCTGATACAAATGGCGATGATTTAATAATTAAACTTCAGAACTGCGTCAGTTTTTGTTCTTTCCACGTGCCTTTTTACAATTAAATTATTTTCCTAGGTTCCTAGGACAAATCAGGCACTTTTGTGAAGTGAGGCGTTCACTTCTAGACCGTCAGATTGTGTGATTGATCCCCTGCCGTGGTAATGACATTGTTGGGGCCGAACTCTCACTTGACCTCCAGCTTCGAGTCTAGCAGAACCTGGCTATTTTTGGTCGCAACATTAGTACAAAAAGAAACTTCTAAACGCAAATAAAACCGCAAAAAAACGCAATTTTACTTTTAAGATAGCTAAATAGAAGAAAAACAATTCAAACAAAACGTTAAGAAAAAAATTAAAAACTTTCAACTTTTGAAATTCGAAGAAAAAAACGGCCTCATAGATCTTTGAAATTACAGAAAGTATTATAATTTACACTTCTTTGATGAAGTTGAGGAAAATTGAGTTAGTGAAAAAAAAAACACTTGAGAAAATTGCATAAAAATTTAAATTTTTATTTCGCTGGAAAATCCGTTTTTGAAAAAAGTAAATGATCGCGTTTTTCGTGACCTTCCATTTTTCTGTTCAAAAGTGGAGTTTTTTTAAAGACCTGTTCGTGAATAAGACACAAAAAATTAACAAGACATAAATAAACGTACTCCCAATTTTTATTTATAAAATTAATAATTAAGAGCTACAAACTAACAGAATCGTTTTTCAAATATTGTAGCTTTCAATTTTTACTATGAAAAAGTTTAGCTTGATCTATTTACAGAGGTTTTTTTACAAGGTATTATTTCAACAATTTGGGAGTGTCTCCTCTAATCACGCTTTCTCTCTACTTAACGGCCGCAGAGTTCCTTCCCTTTGTACCGTGTAATAGCGGGGGACACAAAGACAGGAGATTATCCACAATCTCGAAAAGTTTTTTTTTAGTGGTCAGACTAAATCGACCGATCAGAGGATTAGACAGTTTCATCTCGGCGTGTTCTCTTAATGGCTCTCCTTGTTCAATTAGAGCTATCTCAGCAAATTTTGGGCACAATATATAAATTGTACTTCAATCGCAGACAAAATCAAATTGAATTACAATGCCCTTATTTAGCTAACTATTCATAAAACTCTTCTATAACAAAGCGTTTGTTTTGTCCATTTTTTTCTCCGTCAACTTGCTGGTCAAACCTCGTTTGACTCGATTTCAAACTCGCCAACTCCGACAAATCATTTTGCTCACACGACTATTTCTACCCGTTACTAAAAACAGATTCAGAATCAACATAACTTCTATGAGACACAAAGAGTTCGCTTCAAGCAATGGCGTCCCCAACGCACCGGCTAATCTTCTCGGCTTGCTCAATCGCTCTCTGTGATGAGAATAATTTACATCGTCGTATACTAACAATTATTCTCTTACTATCTATTACAACCAACCGTTCGCTTTCTTAGCGTAAGTGTTCTCCTATTAATTAAAACCATCTATACTCTAATTCAGTACCAATTGTTCTACCTAAGGATAGGCTGTTTGCTAATCTCTATTATGTTTTTCCGTTTGAGTTTTAGTTTGATCAAATAATTCTTTTGTCGCCAAAAGTCCTGGTATCCGCCTAATTTTGCACATGTTTTATGACTACATCCCTCACCATGTCATCACTGCCAAGTGCCAAGTTCGGTTTTTTCATCAATCTCGTCAGGCCTATTAGATACCAGGTATGCGGTAGGTGTCACAATTCGACCCAAGCAAACAATTATCAATCGATCGCAATAAACTTATTCCTGAGCTTCACAAACTGTAGCCCTCGAGTTCAATTCGACCTCCCCATCAGGCTATATTTCCTCAGACTTTAATTTTACTGTAATTTTGTTCAGGGACTATTTTCTTTAGTAGAGTTTAATTGCTAATAACAATAACTCATTAATAACAAAAACTCATTCGCCAGCCAAATCTAAGTTGAACCCAATACTTACCAAGTCCACTGTATTTAGCTCCACTACTCCAAGACTACAGACGAAGAAAAAGATATTATTGTACGCCCCAAAACTTCTAACGTACCCCATACAGGAAAATTGCCCCATACTTCTAAGAGATGGGTTACCTCCCTTGTTGAGTCTAAGAGTATTCATGCAGTTTTGGTTCATAACGCTCATTATTCATCTTAACCTAGGGTTCAACAGGTGTCAAACAGGCAGGTTTCAAGCAGGTTTAGGGTCTCTTGAGGGTCGTACGCAAAAAGTTTTATCCATACTCGAGAATTAGCTTACTTATCGTCCCAATTTAAACGTCGATTTTTGAATTTTGAAGCTGGGGAGACTAGTATTTTTTGCCATCATAAAATTATTATGCCCTTGCTCAGTTTTTGAGTAAATTGCCTATTTGCGAGCTGAGGGGTGTTTTTTTTCAGTGCCAATAGTTTCCGATCTAACCGTCAAATTTGATTCAAATTGAACCACATGTTGTTTCATGCCAGTACCCACCATGTCCCCAATTTTGGCTCACTATAATCTATGGGGGCCGAGAAACGAGCTCCGGAATTAAGGTGGGTTGTTCTACAATGGGTATAAAACCGGAAGTAGGGGTCCAAAATCTTATTACCGAGATCCGATAGGGCTATTTGAACTTCCAGAAACCGTTATTGCTCTCCTCCCATTGAACTGAGGGGTCCCCTTTTTGTAAGGCCGTGTCAAATTAATTCTAGTTGAAGTCTTAAGAGAGGTTAAAGTACCATCCTTTAGTCTGTGCACGCGGCTTGCGGGCAGAGAAAATGTTACGAGCAGTGTGAAATACTTGACCGTTTGTTTGATGTGCTACTTAAATCATTGCCTAATTATTTTTAGGCATTGGGTAATATGGCAAGTAAACTGTAGAAATGCCATTTCTACAGTGATTATTCAAAATACATTCTATTAAGAAGCAGATATAACACTTTACAATTGAATTTTCACATCATTATTAACTAAATTTAGATTTCATTTACAGATGAGATAAGTATAATTTTGTGATTAGTATTATAATCTCTGGTTAAATGAATCTTTTTTCTGGTTTCATTTCTTCACACTTTTAAGAAAGTTATGCAGTGTGGCCATGAAGTTCATATGTCCACTTTTCTGTTGGAAGTTTTTCAGCTGCTCCTCCAGCCACTTGTCCACGTAATTCTTGTCCGACGGATCCTTAGGCAGCGCAGCCATTTTAGTGCGCATGCAATCAGTCAGACTGACAAAGTTGTCACACAGCCCGCTGATATCATTCGCTTTCTTTTGCATGGTCAAATAAAAAAGCTTCTGCGCACCATTGTCGCCTTCATCCCTCATCCTTTCTATCTTAGTTTTTGACAGGTTCACAAACTTCAGAAACACCTCGAGACATTTAATGAAGCTCTCTATTGCCGGAATTAAATCTGTAGTTGTGAGTGCAGCAGCTTTAGCAGCGATATTTGCGTTCTCATCCCTCGCCGCAGCATTACAAAGATGTTGCTCCCGCTTTGTTTCATGATTATCGGCAATAGCAGATCCCACCAATGCAGAAATGCCGAACGTGACCGGAACAAGATTTTTTCCCCATGATTTGGCCGATTCTGCACTAGCTGCTGCTTCATCTGCTTGTATCACCAGTTTGTCACGTTCCTGTTGATACTGGGTTTTCATTTTTTTAAGCTGCTCAACCCCAATAGTTGCTTGAGATTTGTTTTTCTCTAACTGAGTTATTATATCCTTGTGCAGGTCCCTCAAAAACTCGCACACAATTTCTGCTTCTCGCAAAGCTTTCATAATAGGGTCAAGGGAATCCTTCCATTGTTCAAAAGTCAATGCAATATAAATCTCAATGTAGGTTGCGATTCGTTTCATAGCCGTCTCAGTAGAAGGAAGAACTTTCTCCTTATACACGACTGCTTGCTTTCTCGTATTGTCTCGAACCTCAACAAAATCTTTTGTGGCAGCATCTCGTCCCGTTACTTGAAATTCATTGAAAAGCTTTGCGATTGAGTCACTAAAAATATTCAAAAATCGATGCGAGAAACCAAAAAAAACTAATGACACAATTGTATCTCGAAAGTTGGGTTGACACTATAGTTATTCCAAAAACGTGGATGCTCTTCTGCTCATTTTATTTGACCCCTAGCGACCCCTGAGCGACTTTTTGGGCAATAGATAGCTCTGTGTTTTGCCGCACTTTTTGAGCACAGGAGGATAGAAGCAAAAGGTTATCATATTGGCGCAAGGGCTGTTTGAAAGGGCTCTTTACTTGCAGTTTAAAAAAATTCTTTTTTCATCGTTCATTTATTGTTTTGGAAAATTTAATACTTAGACTCCGATTGCTCACGGAACAAAATCAGCAAATTCAAGGTTTCTGTACTTATAAAACTGAAAACGAAATAAATTGACCTGAACGACGCTAGACTGATCGGTGCATTAACCAACGCCGTTTTCAGTTCCACCAATTGTTCATCGAATATGTTAGTTTCTGTCATGTTTCTCTTCCGCTGGAAACACCTGACAGCAAATCAAACTACTATAATACCTCATATTTGGGTCATGTAGAATAAAATTGCAGTGGAAATAACTTCTTTACTTGACTGATTCCCCAATAACTTCATATCCCATAACTGGTAATAACTGCATAAAGTGTCTTTCAGATGGCTATTTTTTATAGAAAATGAAGGCATTTGAACTCTTAGCTCTCTAAATACTTATTTTTTGTTAACCTTTTTTTGTGAGTATATTTTGTAAAATTGTAAGGTTTCGACGACCAAAAAAAATTGTTTTTGATGTCAAAATCAGAAACTAATACTTTGCTGAAGTAAAACCTTGATGAATGGCATTATCCAAAGCGAGGCTACTGAAGGAGACAGTACAAAAGGTTTGAGTGAGCTCCTCGAGCTCCTATTTTGAACATTTTTGCAAACCAGAAGAATGAAACTTCTTTTCGGACAAAAATTTTTTTTTTTGAGATGCCAGATCCTAACGTGAAAACAATCAAAACTGTAATGTACTTGTTTTAAACAACTTCAACGCCTTCAAAAAAAAATCAATAGAAACAAACTTCGTAAAAAACTTGAGCAGGTTAATTGAACCTTTTTTATCATTTCTTTAAAAAAAGAATTCCTAATTCTTTTTAATGTTAAAAGTGAATTGATTATAAAAAAACCTCATGGCTAGTCTCTTTCAGTATATTTTGGAAGTTTTTTTGCAAAAAATGAGCAACTCACCTCGTGCTGAAAGTAAGCGTTCAATTATCTGCTGAGTTTGATTTTACACGAGCTGAAACTCCGAGATCCAACAATGCTAATTATAGTTGATAGTGCATGTATAAGATGCTTAAAAAAGTGAAACAAGTGAAGCTGTCTATAAGTAAAGCTTGCAACTTAAGAGTCGCGTGATCTAGCACGAATTGTCTTCTGATCTACAGAAGACTATTGGTTGTATCTACAATCGAATCAAACCGTTTTTATGGTAAACTTGTGAACATTGAAGAATTGGTAAACGTAACTACTGCTAGAGAAAATGATAAAATGCAGATTGAATTGTCCGAGTCGTCTACGACAAATGATTTTAGTCGTCTTTCATAATCGATATGCGGAGGTAAGAAAAATTACCTCGACAGAGATAAAAACAAAATCAATACTAAATACTTTACTGTGACAATATTACAATTTGACTCATTCAAATTTTGTGTGATTAAGATATTCAATTGTAACTACATGTAGATTCACTTTTTTTGGTAAAATGCGATTGAGTTTTTTGCGATACATGGCTGTAGCAAAATTTTGATTATCCTTTTAGTAGTTTTTATATTATTCGAAACTCAAAAGCATGTTGATATGAAAAAAAAAACTGCAGTGCAATCTGATGGATAAATTGAAAGTCGAGTGATAGAGGTAGCTTGGTAACTTTGATAAACTGGAACATGGCCAGAAAAATTGAAAGGAAAGCACCAGCAGAGAATATGAAAAGAGAAGATCTGAAAACAACCGAAAACCAACTAAGATACTGTCAGTACTGAGCCGAAACTAACGTCTGCACGACATAAATCCGGTGCATAATCGGCCTGGACTCTCAAAGAAGGGTGGGTTTACGGTAACTCATAGAACGGCATCAAAGGAAAACTCGAGGTGTGATTTGTTTCGGTGTTATGAGGAAACTAACTACAAAACCAAATGCAAAATAAAACTCAAAGAATTATTTGGCAAACAAGGTTGGACAATTCGTTCTGTGTTCAGATCTGAACTCATAATCACTCTGTTGAAACTTGGATTATCACCAGAGAGATATTTTTCAGTGAAGAAGGACGGTAAAAAAAAGAAATGATATTGAAACTGATTCTGAACTAAATATTAACAAGACTGCTCGTATCAAGGCGAAGCCCTGAATATTCCGACTGCCTTTTAAGGTTTATGGAGCAGCAGTAATAACATAAAAAATTAAATGAAATAAAATGAATGAATTTTTTTTTTCTAAAATTTGAATTTTTTTAAATGAAAATCATCCCCCCACACGCCATATAAAGAACAAAAAGATAGATTTCGTTCCTTGTAACAAATCAATTATGACAAATAAGCTTCTTTCAACCAATTTGGAACGATTTATAAGACGGATTAAATCTCCGGTTACGCGTTAATATCGCGAATTATATCGCGCGTTAATTGTCCCAAATTGGTCAAAATGGCCAAAATGGCAATCTTTAAACCCTCATAACTTTACAAAAAATGATCACAGAAGAAAAATTATTTCAAATTTCAGCTCAGGACATTAATGGCTTTCGAATGATATAAAAAAAATTCCGTCAAAAATGGCTCGTTAAAAAGTCGAAATTTGTCTGAAGAAAAAAAAACCCACCCCGAGCACAAATACTCCGTTACTTTCGTATCGAACGTCGGAATAAAAAGGTTCAGTAGAACTTTTCAAGTTCAATTTTGTTGCTTCAAAAGTCAGCAATCAAAACAGATGATAAGATCCGTAAATTGGGGAATTGGCCGTTTTGCTGAACTGAGATGACATCATCTTCTGCATAATTGCTCAGCGGGAAGACGCCGTTTACTAATATTCAGATTGGTTTATTTGGCCCATCACTAGAAGTATTCAATCAAATCATTCATAGGAAGTACTTAACTTCTATTTAGGATTTTAAATTAAAATCTTGCGCGGAGTAACTCAACTTTAGTATCTCAAAAAAGAAAGCTTTTCTTGATCTTTTTAAATAGGAAAAGGTGCAAACGCCGAAACTGAAGTACTCCTAACAGATGTTGGTTTTTTGGATAGTTTATTTGCAGGGGGGTAATTTGAGCGCTGAAAAGAGCAAGAAACATATGTTCTAAATTGTTCTAGACCGTTTCAAAAAAGTTACTAATTGTTCTAGAATGTTTCAGACCTTTGTTCCATCGTTTGGAAGAGCAATTTTGTCCATGCACGCTACGTTCATACAGCAAATTCAGTTTTTACGACAAACAAGCCCTTGTACTCGTGAAATTGAAGGTTTTTGCACTTGTACAAGGTTTACCCAATTTTATTGGTTCATACTTTAAACAAGTGCAAAAGAACCTTCAATTTCACGAGTACAAGTGCTTGTTCGTCGTTTAAACTGAATTTGCTGCATGAACGTAGACTACACGGACAAAATTGCTTTTCCAAACGATGGAACAATTTAAATATAATTTGCGTACATTAGCTTTAGTTCCATCTCACTTCGTTCCTGTACAGAAATCAATCATTGCTCATCATGCATATTAGGCTCTTGCTAGGATGACTCTTGATTCACTTAACACATCTAACAAAGTCCAGGCACATCAGGAAAAACAAATTGATGGATCAATCAATTTTTTTGCTTATCTATTAAAAAAACATTTTCAGTGGAGATACGAAAACCTCAATAGATAGAATTTGCAGATTGTTCAAAGCGCTGATTTGATTCATTTAGAAGATAAATGGTTGTGGCGCAATATATACAAAGTGCAAGATCTCGATCAGACAATCAACCACCGAGTCAACAGGGGCAAAAAACATGGCAGCCTCTAAATTAAAAAAAAATTCACAGCCATACAAAACGCTAAAATTTTTCATGCCAACCAAAATTTCCAGCAAAAGGATCAACTCTGCAATACATTAGTGGACATACCTTTCCCTAAAAGCTACCATCAACAAATCATAGATAAAATCTATGAAATTGTCGAAAAATTGACATTTCACCGCCTGCATTTATTCAACAATATTGAAAGATGAGGTGTAGAATGAGGAACTTTATAAAGAAGAAAAATCAAAACAACAACATTTTATATCCATTTTCGAAGAAACTTTGTTCTGGATGGTCAAAAATATCAGCAACAAGCTTTTAACATTTAATTATGTTGACTTTGAGACAATTTGTTAGTGGTCTCCAATCAAAAGTTCTAGGGTAGCTCACTATGCAATTCTAATTGTCTCCAAATATTTAATATCACCCGCCAAACTAGTTAACATTTACTGCAAACATGTAGCCAGAATTTAGGAACAGAGTGAAATTAAAGGCGCATGTGGAAAGAGCGGTCAAGCGAGCAAAGTAGTTCGTAGATTGCCATTGAAACAAATTGGCGGAGGACTTCTCGAAACAGTCGACCAAGCCAAAACATATAGACAAACGCCAACATAAAATCAGATTTTTCGGAAACCTTGCCAATTGAGATTGGAAAATCCCACGGCATCGAAACATTCCAGCCTTAAAAATTTTGATAGACACCAATTAGGAGTGACATTTGAACACCCATCAAATGTCGCTTCCCGTCACATCGATTCGATTTTTTTAATTGGCAACCGATTTTTTTAATGGCCGAATGTGGAGTAGCAAACTCAAGCAGCAAAGAAAATAGACACCAATATGCCATTGTAGCAATTGATGAAGTTTGAGGAAAAAAACAGATGCTTTTAAATGTTCATTCTCCACTTATTTTTTACACTAAGGTTTTTCCGGTTTCAGTCTTTTACTGAACATTGGATTTGTCAACAATTCCAGCAAACTATACGCTCAAAGAGCTCTTCTTCAGACAGAGCTTTTTTTTAACGAAGTCTGCGTAGAAAAAGAACTAGCTACTCAATGTAATTCTTTTGAAGTAGATCCTTCTTAATTCTTAAAAGATCCATGCTAGACGTCTACAGTGGACTAAAAGGTCTCAAAGTCAGGTTTTTTGAAAAACTGGCTGCTGCGTTTTCGCAATGGACCAATTAATGCTTCATGCTTCAGCGACATGAGTATAGGGCTGGTTACAAACCGGAATTTTTTGGCAACTCAAAGAAAAAATTTCCACAGATTGCCGTGAGCGGTAATTCTCAGTTGCCTGTCAAGTTAAATTCTTACCGCGGAGAATCAGAAAAAAACGGCCACATTTAAACTGGATAATAATTCAGAATTGCCTTTGGTAGTGAGTAATTGAAAAAAAAACTCTTCAAGACAACTGATTGGAGATTTTCTTTTTTTAACAATCTAATCAGATTTTTGATATGGGGAATATTCTGGACAAAAAGTGTTGCAAAAAAGTCTGATTTTTTTTTACAATTTTGTTTTCAGTTATCAAAGTTAGCAAAAAAATATGATTTTTCATTTTTGTTTGGAGTTATTACACCTAAATTGATAAAAAATGATAATTCCATGTTTAATCTAACCATGAAATACAATAAACCACTTATACTCAATAAATAACACTTAAGACTTCGCAAGTAAAAAACACAAGTCTTTTGAGTAAGTACTTATAATTGAACAAAATTTTACGTTTTTTTCAATAATTTTTTGTCATGTTACTCTCACAATGATATCATGTTACGCACACAATCATCAATTAAGAAGATACAAAACTTATCTTTTTCGAGCTTGAGATTTTTTTTCTTGTCTGCATTTCCTCCTCATTTGCGCTTTCATCTAACTCTTTTGACGAACATAAATTTTTTAAGAAAACAAACAAAAACATTTTTTAAAAAACTATTTTTGGGAAATTATAAATTGGTCGAGGAATATTATCGAGAAAAGTTTTACTTTTTCATTTCTTAGCTGAAGCAGTAACTGGAATTTTCTAACAAACGAAAAACAACTACTTCCAATGTATACCAATTCCATGAAGATTTTTAGCATTTAATTCGATTTATGAAAAGCTTTTCAAATATATGAAGCAAATTATATGCAGATTTTGATTTAAAAAACCCGGACTTTTTCTCAATGTGCGATATCTTGATAAAAATAGGCTTTCTCACTTTCTCGGAAATATAAAACTGTCTAAAACGAACAAGTGTGTTTTGTATCGGGCTCATTCCTGATGCATTTGATGACTCGAAACCGAGCATCACTACAAACTTTTCACAATCACTTTTCAAACCAAAAATTTTCTCAGTTCCCGTCGTTACCCTATCCTCGAACTCAAGTTCTTCCTAATGACGCTACCTCACTTCTCTCAACCCTTCCAGCATTTTTTCCGACACTCCAAGCCCTGTGACTGATGACCAATAAGAATTTAATTTAGATGACTTCAATCAGCACCACAAAAGCCATCATGCTAACACCCAAGCACAATCCGCCGACCAACCCACTCCACTTCTCCATCAGAAACATCAACATCATCCATCCCTAGCACCTCCACCCGTGCACAACGCAACTCAATGAATGAAAGTATTCAACCAACTCAACCAAAGATTTAGTCAATCGACGTTCACCATCACGACTTCATCGCACAAACCACCCTAGACACAATAACACCCACGAGTTCCTAACTGACAACCTTCCTTTTTTTCCCAATATCTCTACAACAGAAACGTCCCCAAAGTCAACGAGACCCTAATGTTGACGAGCACTCACTAATTCCTATACATCCTTGGTTTTGTTACAAACAAGTTTTCAGCCCGCTCCAAAAAGTAACCCGCTCAAACTTTCAAGCTACGCAGTTTATTTTTTAACTTGAGATTTAAATGTTATGGTATTGAAGGCGTTATCAATTGTGTGGTTTTGCTCAAGGTTGTTTATCTGAAGCACTCAGACTGTTAAGCCAGGCAGTGTAATTCAGAGCACATGCATTTTATGAAACATAGCTCACTAGCCTTATGCATTTTACTTTACATCGTTCAAACTTACCTACAAACACATGAAAAATTAACAATTATAATGCTACAAAGAACTTCATAGTTCAGAGATAGCTTTTAGTGTTTAATTAATTATTGTAAATTTTAGTTCTATTTACATAGGTATGTGTGCATGAAAGTTCACACAATCTCAAACAATAAAAGAACCGTTTGAAACGTTCTAGAACAGTCTAGAATGATTTGTTCCGCGCATGCTCATTCATCTTCCCCAGCTAGTGAGGTATCCACCCACCTTCTACTCCTCATGTTAATATGTGGGAGGTTTCGGGTGCCAAAAGTCTTAAACCTGGTTTTTTAATAGATAAGTAAACTTCTAACTTCTGTCTTATCTGAATAAATGGGAAAAAGGCTCGATATTATTAAATTTGTCTTCAGGTCAGACAGAAGGCTAAGACCAATCTAATGAAATGGAGAACTGCAAGCGTCTCCCACTGATCTACTCACCTACACTAAATAACTGTATCAGAAGTGAAAAACCGAATTGGATAGGCGAAGACACTGAGGACGTGTTTTCAAAGACGCATCTAGAATTGGTCAATATGGTTAGTGTTAGATTTAAATTTCAGACAACCGAGAGGTAATGACATTAACTGACTTGAAATGGATTGACTGGCACACAGAGCATCAAATATGATTACTTAAATCGAAGAACCCGCAAGACTAACTTAATTGTAGTTTCCAACATATGTTTTAGATACCTGTAACCAGATCTGTTGATGAACACTTGTGAAAGCACTGTAGGTCCAATGGTGCTCTCTTAGGTGGTAAAATTTTTCGCGCACTTTGAAAATTTTTTAACAACCTACAATAAAATTTATAAACAATTTACAGACACATGTACTCAAAATTGCCGACTAAACTTCTCGTTCTACGCTTTAGTGCTCAAACAATAAAGCAAATTATTTAAGCTTGGCGAGGTACCCCGAATGAGCACTTTTATCTGCGACTTAGCTTGGAAAAAAAAGAAAGGTCGCAGTAAAACGCTACGCTCGAATGTATAAGCACCTAATTTTATTATAATCAGCATCACATTCAAAGTTTGATATCATTTTTTCAATTATCAAAAATTATTTGGAATCAGTCAAAGGGCAGTCGGAACAATGAGACCTTTCCTCTAATACTAGTATTCTTATTTATAATTAATTTCCATTAACAGGACAACAGAATAATGAAATCAGACAAGGGCAATCAGCCCAAAATTTATCTTTCCACTCATTTAAACTATTACTTTGTTTACTCGATCTTCTTATATCACCTTTTATCATTAACTCAGTTCGGCAAAAACTCGAAACATTCTAGGGTGCTACATTTTTTAGGCTTAAAAAAGGAGCACAGCCTAAAACTACAACACAAGCGTTTTTTGAAAAAAGCTTAGAATATCTATTTCGAACTACCATTTTATTGTTCAAATTTTCCGCGCTCAAATTTGAATACAAGTCTTCCTCTGTTTTTATTATCGTGGAGCCCTTTCCTTTCTTCTCGTTCTCAAGTTATATGTTAACTGCTGAAGGACAACATTTTTTTATGATCTGTAAAAGATATTTCAGTGAAACATAAAATGTATGTAAATTTTATTTCACATTGTCTAAAACAAAAATTGGACACCGAAAATTTATATTCAATAGATTTATCGCCACTTTAGAAACCACTAGTCATAATTTATTCAACTTTATGCACGAGAAGGGAGCGAATGTAACTACTCATAAGGATTTGATACAAAAATAGAGTTTACAAAGCAGGACACAAAACTGACAGTACATTGTAAATTACACCGCATTATTATCACCTATTTTTTAAAACTTTAAATCAATTAGATCACTCATTTTTCAACCTCATTGATTATTTGAAAAACCTCTTTATTGATCGAGCAAACCGGGTAGCTTAAATTTGTAGTATTTGAATTTGACGAGAGTTGAGAAGAATGTCTAAAGCACTCCAAAAGCAGATGATGTAATTCGGTGAAATTTTAACTTTTGTCAACAAGTTTTTATCAAAGACTTAAAATAAATATCGGGTTAAATTACATGTTTCAAAGTAAACTGAAGAAACAAAAAGTAAAACTTGGGCCAAGTTTATTGCATCGTTGAAATGAAAATTAAGTTTTGAGTAATTTATTTGCTGGCATAAAAATTGATACGGAAAAAAGTTTTGAAGGCCACACAATTGATGAATTCTAGGAATTTGCCTGTTGAACAGCCTCTCTTCAGTTTCTTCTCTCGTGAAGCGCATCTGCCCTAAATCATTCCAGGTCAATCGAGTTGGTTTTTGACTACGTTCAGCTACAGTCGGAAAGAGAGAGGCGTGGAATCACTAAAATAATTCAATCGTAATTTTTAAAAAACCAAAATTTAGCGTGAACAAATTTTAAGACTTTTCCTGTAAAAAAATCAGCAAAACCTATATAAGAGTACTCACTACGTTCAATACTCTTAAAAAGTTATTCTAAATAAGACCTTTCCAACTAACACGGCCCTTAGGTATCAAAACTGGCACTTAATTATTTCAGTTTAACATAATCTTTTAGCGCAAGATTCCAGCTGAATATTTGATAGACATTAACTCTTCAATGTATTTTCTTGTCTTTATAAACGAACTTCGATCAAGTTCTTTAATGTATATTTTGACATTATAATGGTCAATAAAACAATGCGCGAATTTTTTAGCCAACGTATCTATTTCTCTGTATATATTCACCAGGTCTAAAACGTACCACCAGAAAAGCTCTGATGACCTGTTTGGTATCATTGGTACCGTTTTTGTCAATGCCATTCTAAATGAATTCAATTTTCAATTCGACTAACCCACTACGTTCTGAATAGGTTACTTCTGACACTACGTAAGCCTCATTTGACCTCTCCATTCCAATATTCCTTTCACCCCCAAACCCCAGGGGGTAATTTGACCCTTGAACCATCTGTCCATTTTGTGCTAACTTAGCCTTCAATTTATGGACTGGGCTTTGATAAAAAATTTGCGGTGAACCGGGTGATATTTTTTCAGCGTGGTCGAAATCCGACTTAGAGTGAGTCATACTCGTTTCTCGGTGCTCCTGAGTCGTGTTTATTCCAGTTTGAAGTGAAGTTAAACTTAAAGATTGGGGGAACATTTCGTCGTGACTGAGATTCAATTCTTGTCGTTGACTGATATTACCACTCATAGCATACGAGTTCGTGTTGTGAAAAACTGTTGTAGCTGTCACTTTACTCGGTGAATATTCAAAATCTGAAGAACTGTAGGGCATTGAAAACTGATTGGACTCGTTAAACGTCGTATGTAAATTTCCTCCTGTAGTTTTAGCAACAAAGTGTTCGGTAGAACCATTTCTGATAGAAGCATTATTACTATTATATGTTGTATTATAAGGCATGGCATAGTACTTTTTGGATGATTCCCGGACGGTCGGACCTCCAGTTGGGAAAAATAAGTTCGGGGTCTGAATGGAGGAGTCCGCTGGATTCGATCGCCTAAACAGTTGCGTCTGACTTGCGATTGATGATGTTGATGATGCTGAATGTTCGACCGCCCTGCTGGTTGATATGTTTGAACTTAAACTGGCACTTGACATTGCTTGTAGCTGATTTGAACCCGAAACTATTCCTGGTGACGGGATACTACAGGTCGACGCATTTAGATTCAAATCTATCCTCGAAGTTGGGTAATTTCTGTGAGTACTTGCTCCCATTTGTAAACTGACACTTGATGTGGGTTGTCGCCAATTGTTGCTGTTGTCGCCAGTTGTGGTGTAGGACGTGGATGCGTATGATGATCTTGAAGATGAGAGAAGGTCGTCGTTTGATTTATGTTTCAGTCGCATCGAAGAGTAAGTCGGGTATCTTCGGCTTCGGTAGTCCGTCACCTATTCAAATACCAAAACAATTCTCATTGTATCAGAGATATTACAAAAATGGGCCACTCTAAAAGCAACAAAAGTGGATATTAACAATAATGTTTTATTTAGCAAAAGTTATGTCATTTTCTTCTACAACCCTAATTGACTCGTTCAGTAAAAATACAGTAAGTTAAGAGCTCTGCGTCTGGTTTGCATTGCCCTGTTTTAAAGACAAATTTTGCTGAAGAAAATTTCTATTGAAATCCCTTGTCAACTTTTTGTCGAAAACGCAGATCATCAAGTTGCAGATTTATTTTTAAAATCAGCGCAAAATTGAATACAAACACTAGAAAAACGACAAAAATCAGCTCTATAAAGTGAAATAAGAAAAAATAGAAATAAACCTGAATTTAGTTCAAACCACCGACCACAGGTTCTCAATTCTCAACACACACTAGCCACAAATCAAGCAGAGATCAGATGCTATGAAAATTCCAATGCTACAGATTATAGCAAAAGTGCCACCAAATGAGCAGTTTTATTTGCAAGTTAGGTTGGAAAAGAAGTAAGCGCGTACTAAGACACTGCGCTCGATAGTGTAAGCATACAGATGGTTGGAAAAGTGTAACAAATTCAGCAAGGCGACAAAAAATGATTCAAATTTGTTGAGCATTTTTCAACTTCCGATCTTCAAAGAAAAAAGTATATCACGCAAAAGATCTATGAATTTCAAGATGTTTATGAATTTTATAAAAACTGGATCAATAGGCCATTTTTTTATTTCCCTGTAAATAAGAAAATTAAAGTCCATTTTTGGAAAAAAGCCAATCACTTTTTTGGTTTTTCTATTCAATAAAGGAGCTTGTATTCCTTTTAACAAAGAAAATGGAGTGAACTCAAAACTAATTCAAAAGTTGAAGCGCCAAAAGTCAAATTTGAGCTTGAACAATTTTTACGGCCTTTACTTGAAAAACAAACAAACAAACAGACGAAGTCATCAAAACATAAATGAGTGACAATCACTTCATTCTTTTACTTTTAAATGGCGAGAGCTCTAAAACTGAGGTCAAAATCAGACAAAAGCAACAATGATGATTTCAAAAAGAAAACTAAAATCAGTTTATTTACTTACAGGCTCGCAATATCCTATCAAGAAACCCTCATTAAGTTCATGCACTTCATCTCTCAAATTATTCATTTTTGATGGTGGCGTCTCTCTCCCTCATGAATGAGAAACCAAATAATGTAATTTCTTTTCAGCCAATCAGAATTGAGTAATCACAAATCTCAAAACATAGCCAACTTAAGAATTGATTTGTTGACCACGGATTTATGGAAAATAGTCTGAATGCAAGTGAACAGAAAAATAGATGCCCTTAAAGTTCCTTGAATTTCTAAAACAATTTACGTTTGCTTAACTTATTTCGCTGGAAATCTTAAATTAAATTCCACTTTCGAAACTAGAAATAGATCACCAATTGTGTGACCTTTACAATTTCGCTGTTCGATAGTGGACTTTGCCTTTCTTTTAACAAATTAACAAACTCAAACCGCGAAAAGTAAAATTAAGCCTACACAAACTTTAAGACTTTTCCTGTAAAAAAAATCAACACGACCTATATAAGAGTCTGAATTACGTTCATCGACTCTTAAAAAATTTCGAAGAAATCGAATAAATTCAAGCCACTAAAATTGATATTGGCCGAGTAAAACATAGGCATATACATGAATTTTCAAACTTTCGACATAGGCATATACATGAATTTTCAAACTTTCGAAATCGAAGTCGCGTGATTTCGAAAGTTTGAAAATTTAAAAAATCTAAGACCAATTCCAAAAATTCATCTAAAAAATTCCCAAAATACCAATTCATCTAAAAATGAAAAAAAAATTTTTTCCCATATTTGCACGAATTATACAGCAAAACTTTTCTGGGCTGGTATAATTCATTTTCTGTTCATAATGACTTCGGTTTTGTGCAATAGTGGTTCAGCCAATAGGAACGTCGGATCAATTGAGCAATCTCTCCCCCCCCCCCCATGAAATCATAGAAAAGATTTTCCAACGAATGTGGAACTCCAAATTTTCAATATAAAAAAAGCTCAAAAAATACAACCAGAGTGAAAAAGACTCAATAAACTGAGGCATGAACAGCGACATTTTTCTGTCCTCAAAGGAGGAAAAATGTTTTGCTTACAATATTAAGGTGCTGCGGAGAACTGTGTTTGATATTCAGATAGAAGGCTAGAAGGCATCAACCTGGTAAGTCGCATACCTCGATGAGGCAATGCTCGCCCAAACGAAATTTCGCAATACTTTTCTCGATACTTACATAAAATAAACTTCAGAGGGTCAATTGATTGCGTGCTACGAACACATCAACTATCTACTTGCTTTTACTGATGTTTTTTGTAGCGGTTTACCGTTTTTGCTTGGGGGGGGGGGAGAGAGATAGCTCAATTGGTCATTGACTACATTATCGCAAATAATAGAGATTAAAAACATTGTCAGAACAATTTAGCTCAGAGAGGTCAAATAAAGATTGAAACGTTTTAGTCCAGTGAATTGAAGTCGTTTTTTTGAAAAAAAAACATCACAAACGTTGATCACATAAATATTAAACCATATGTAGAAATGAAAATTGAGGTAAATTCATACCAGAATTGTTTAAATCGTAACCAATTATTCGCAAATTAAATTCAATTCTGAACTAAATAAAGGCAACCTACAGACAATTTAGACTGAATCATCACTGAGTCTTAATAAAAATATATCCAGGCACTACAAAATATCCAAGCTGACCTGGTAAGCAGTCTTGGGCACATATCCCTCTCCATCATCCTCATTCCCCTCAGAGGGGGTGTACCCCCCATAGAGATTGTTGTACTCTGGTGGGCGAGAGTAGAAGGGGTTGGCGCCAGAGGGAGAAGGGAGGATAGACCCCCTACTACTGGAAGACTGGGGGGTTCGGGGTAGAGTGGTTGTGGCACTGTTGCGACTGAAATTGAAGACAGTACGAGGTCGAACCAGAAGTTTTTTAATCATTCATTAGCATCAGAACTTGTCTTATACATAAAATTTTAAAAAAATAAGGAACTAAAAAAGGAAAAAAGTGTAGATATAAAAATATTGTCTCCTTTCGATATTAAGAAGTTTTCAACATTTGATTTTCATTTTAACAATCTTCAAATGACCAGACTCTTTAATCATTGACATTTTTTGGCAAATTAACTCAATTATGGCTGGTATACTTTCGTCCGTAAAATTTGCGACTGGATAAGTTCACTGTGATGATTTATCTGGGATAATTTTGTTTCGATTTTTAAAAGAATTCCGAAACGCTACAAATCAGCAAACAACAGCAACAACCAACTTGATCATCATTAAGGCTGTCGGAGTCGCATCTAAATCCCTCTCCGACACCCCCGTGGAAGAGAAGTCATGTTCCTCTCCTTCTCCTCCCCCTCCCCCTCCCCCATTAGTTCCCCACGTGGTGCTGAGGTGGAGGGGGTTATGTCTTGAAAGAACCAGTGGGGTGCTGGGACTGGACTTGACGATGTCTCTAGAGATAGATGTCGGGTGGGGGTTGTTGTTGACAGGCGTGTATGAAAGGGGAATCTGAAAAATAACAATCTTCAGATAAAACTTCAAAATAAAATTTAACTAATTGAAACAAAATACTTGAAACAATAAACATAGTTTCATGGGCATTCTAGCCGAATAGAATCATACACAAATCTGTTGAAGCTTAAATTAAGAGAAAAACTTGGAGCCAAAACTTTTTTTAGCAAAAAACTGAAACGAAAACATCTCTCTCCAATTTTTTTTTAATTACCCTTTTAATCCCTTTAGTGAGCTTAAATATCACCAGTAAAAACAGAATTTCCATAAAACTAATTGCAAATTCTTTCTTTCTTCATTAAACTGATTGCTGCCTATAACATACTTATTTTCCCTTCTTACCTGACTATGATTAGAATACATCCCACTATTCGTCGGAGTTGGAGTATTTAACGCGTCTGTACTCTGAGCCGACACGCCTATATGATTCCTCAGTCTATCTGTCAGACTATGTGCTCTATTTCTATTCACACTTCCCATCAATGTTGTTGTTGTTGTTGTTGACAGTTCGTAGTGACGGAGGGTGTCTCCACCGCGTAGTCGGTGGGAGGGGTCGGTGGCGATGTTGTTGTGAAGGTGAGAATTGTTGTTTGTTTCGATTGAGAAGTTGTCGATGTCTCGTTTTAGTTGAACTAGTTTGAACTTCATGTCTCGCAGCTGAAACAAATTCATTTCACTTAATTGGTATTTTTGCTTTTTCGAAAAACTCTGGAAAGACTAATGATCATGAGCTCTGATTGCTCGACGTTTTTTCCATTGGTTTTGTAACAACTCCTTCCGTACCAAAAAAGCATTCTTCTAACCACAACATCACATGTCCTAAATAAATGAAAAGTCAATTTATTAATGAAGATTACTCAAATTTTGGAAAAACTATAAAGGTAGTGACATATTCCCCTGCATCATCATTAATTTACACGTAGATTTATCCCAAAAAGTATTGATCGTTTAAGCAGAACAGGACTAAAGGTGCTATACGATCCAACACTGATCTTTTTTCAATTTTCAAAATCATATTATGATGCTCAAAACTGGTCATTTCAGATTCATTCGAGCAAAATTATTCGAGCGTATCATAATGCTCACATCTGGTCATTTAAGCTTCGTTCGAGCAAAATTATTCGAGCGTATCATAATGCTCAAATCTGGTCATTTAAGATTCATTCGAGCAGTATCTCAATTATTGTTAGAAACAGAAGCTCATTTAACCAGTTGGTATTTTTGGACCGTGTAACAGAAAAAATTCGTAACTTTCTCTGGCAATTCATTTAATAGTGCTGCCACAGCTTTGACAAATTTTCTAAATGACCTATGGCAAAATTCAGCTGTTAAACCTTACATGCTCTTTGACAGTTTAGCATAAATAATCTGCAAAAAATACTTGAAATTCGATGACGATTGATAGATCGATCATGAAAAGAAGCTGTCACCGATTTCTCAGAAAGCAATTAGGTTTGTAGGGGGCTATTCTCATAGGCGAAGGACCGAATGGTCGAAAAACTCATGGACGGAGGACCAAAAACAAAAAAGTCGAAAGTCAGTTGTTAAAATGACACAATTGCGGTTCAACTAAAAGGAATTAAATGAAGCAATATTTTGCTTCTTTTATAACGAACCCCTTGAAACATATTTTCATATACCCTTGAACTCGCCTGCGGTCAATGACCATTTTAAAAAATTGCATGGTTCTGCCGTTTTTATATTCGGCCAATACTAGTATTAAGTCCTTGGAAACGTTTAACTTCTTTGAAATTTTCATGATTACGTTCCAAACTTTGGAACACTGAAATCTGATTGGCTGATTTTCGTTTTTGCCCCATCGGTCCTTCGCCTATGAGAGACTCCACTAGGCCCGTATTCTGCCTTTGACAAAAATACCTTTTAAAGAAGTCCATAACAAGCATACGACTAATAATGTCTCGTTTTAAAAATTCAGATCAAGGATGTTCAATATTATCATTCATTTAACAATTGGTTTTAAAAATTGGTTAATTAAACTGATTTAACCGAAAATGAATTGGTTGAAGCAATTTGGCTAAGAAGGGCCATATTTCACCATTTCGATTTGCAATGAAAAAAAGCCCTAAAACAGCCCTAAAAAAAGCTCATTGAATTTCTAGAACAATTTATAATTCGCACTTTTTCGATAAAAATGACCCAATTTGAGAAAACTGGATCAATAGATGAACTTCTTTTCGCTGGGAAATCTGAAAAGTAAATTCCATCTTCAAAACTAGAAAACGATCACGTTTTTCGTGGCCTTTACACTTTTGCTGTTCGATAGTGGAGTTTGCCTCCCTTTTAACAATGGAAATGAAGCGAACTTTGAATTGAACTTAAAAAGAAATCAAAAGCCGAACGCCGAAAAGAAAATTTAAGACTGAACAAATTTTTAAAGACTTTTCCTGAAAAAAAATTAAAAGCATCGCGACCTGCATAAAAGTTTGAACTACGTTCATCCTCTCTTAAAAAGAACGCTAAATAAATTCCGTAGCAAATCATAAGGTCTGTAATCTGATTTTGAAAAAAAAATGCCTTTAAACCAAGTCCATAATAAGCATACAACTTAAAAATTAATTTAAAAAGTCTCGCTTATAAATTCAAGGTCACCTTACCTGAGTCTCCATCTTGGCAATGTTCTGTTTGCGCTCCTTCCTCTGACCTCGTCTGACCTTCCTCCCACTGGCCCCCTGTTCACTCAACAGTCTCTTCTCAGCCTCCACTATCTGCGCCTTCAACTCCACCTCCGCCTGCAGGTCACTCCTCTGTCTCTTAAGTGCTTCCAGCCTAATCAGAACAAAGTGAGGAAATTAGGATTTATTTTATAAACCAGTAGGCAGTACAAAGTTATATCCAAGTTTACAAATTCAAAGGAGAAATTCAAGTGCTTCCGGTCTACTCAAAACATAACAAACAGAGAAAATTAATATATATTTTTTCAATATTCCAGAAGGCATTACAACGTTCGATCCAAATTTATAAATTCCATGAAGAAAATCAATAAAGTCCAATGATGAATATCTACTAAGGAGCAATAACTATCCAAAAACCCTAAATTAACTGCTCCGACCCTAAGCATCGAAACAAATTGAGAAAGAAAACATCAAATTAGCATCGATCTAAGTAAAGACCCAACAAAAGAATTTTAAAAAGCTCACAGAGAACCTCTTCTCATCCATGATTACAAATCATATCCGTTTAACACTTAATTAAATAAAAACAAGTTGTCTCTTGTATATTGAGAAATAGAAAAAATCATCTGCAATTCTAATCTAGCCGATGTAAAAACTGAAACTGAGGTGGTGTAATATACAAGTCACGTAAGCCTGCTTATTATAGCCTAGTACTTAAACAAGAACACACACAACTGATGCTTTTTCGACAAAACCAAAGACATATGTTAACAAGGATAGCCAGCTACTGTGCAAGTAGCACAGAACGTTCCGATCATTTTCATTTAAAAAAAAACAAGAATAGTTGGTAACAAGAAAAATACAAAAAAGGTTTTCCAAATTAGTGTCGCTTTTTCTGCTTGGTGTGATAAAGATCTGAACGAAAAAAAATAGAACTTAGACATGTTCGGCAATCAGGGTAAAAGATGCCAATTGGAAAACAGTTTTTTGTAGAAAAATGACTAGAAAAACGAAACAAAAAAATTGTTTAAAAAAACAAAACCGATCTGAACACTCAATCTTTGGGTCAAAGAGAGCCAAAATTCACAAATCGAAAACAAATTGAATGTGAGAATTTAAATAAACTAAGATTTGACTCAAAATTCATTTTTTCATTTATATGCACATCACTGAGAGAAATGAAGTTTTTACCTTTCCTCTGCTGTTCCCATGCCCAGTTTGGCCTTGTAAGCTCCTACTTGACCCAAATTATGCACTGACATGAGGACACTCTCTGGCAGCTGGAATCTAGTGCCCACTCTCTTGCGGGGCTGAGGGGGAGTGTTGCCGGGACTGACTGGATACTCTTTGGGAACTACGCCTGTGATCTCCTGTAGAAGATAATAGAAGAAGATCAGTATGCACATACATAGTTATAGACGTACATTGTAAAAAACCAAAAGTTTGAAGTATAATTTCTTTTACTTAAGTTCTCAAATTAGCCAAATTGGCATACTCCTTTTCCTGTTTTTTTTTATTCAGTCAATGGTGGCTATACCGGAAACTATTACGTATTAAATAGTTAAATAAAGTAAGCCAAAATCTATTTAGGGCAAGTATAACCGAGTTCGATAAGTTGCCTGAACAGCAAGAATATCTGGTTGCTGTACAAGTAGCACATAATAACCCGCCCACTGTAATCTAGTTATTGTAACTTTAAAAAAAAAGAGTTCAAAACGAAAACTTTTTTTAGGTCGACCAAACTGATTTTCTGAGCTCTCCTAAAGCACTACAAATACACTGTTTTGGCCAAAATGTCTGCGCCGCAGGCAAAATTTTGAAAAAACAGGCCAAAAAAGGCGTTTTAGACACTTTTTGGAAAATTTTTACGCTCCCCACCTCAAAATTAAAATATATTGGCGCCAAAGGCGCCTTAAGAAAAATTTTAGCTTCCGTCACCAAAAATGAATATCTCAAAATAGTACAAAGGGGGGACCCTTTGGGTCGGCAGGTGGTCGAATCCCTGAGATCCGCCGCTGCCATGGGCCAATAGTTACTTCCCACTCTGCGAGTGCAACAAAACTTAAAAATTCAAAAAAATGAACTCACGCTCTCCTGCATGCAGACTTCTTTGAGTTCGTCCAACTTGTCTCTCAGTTTGTCCAGAAGAGTGTCCCGCTGTGCACTGAATGCCACAACCAAGTCCTGTAGAGTCTCCATAGAGGGACCCAGATCACTTGTTCCTGTCATACCATCAAAATAAATTAATAAATGATAACTTAGTTATGATTATGATGCTAAGTATCATCAACACGCGCTGTGTAATATTCAACTAACGAGAGCCTATCTCAATGAAGTGTTATTGTGGTAAATGAAAGATTAAAATTGGCTCAAGACGAACTGCAGAACTAAGGACACTATCAGCTGTCATGACAACTAGGATTATAGAAAAGGTGCAAAATCCTCTCATTATTCTTATGAAAACCCAGTCAAATAAATTTAAAAGAACTTCGAATCTTCTGCTAGCATTTGGATATGCACTTCTTGGAAGCAAATTTGATATAGATGGGAATGGTCAACAGATAATAACAAACAATGGAAACTTTTCTATTTTAAATTTAAGATATCTTCTAAATACGTTTTAATATATTATTCAGAATACATTGAATCCTGATTTACACCATCAGTTGTCTAAAAACGATCTTTTGATCATTTAGAATTAGAAAATCAAACTTTATTGCACTTCTATTTTCATTATAGTTTCAAATCAATTGTTTTGACCACAACAATTAACACAGCAAGTTCAGTTTCAATCGATTTAAAATATCAGCAAAACCGCACTTCGCGACTTGAGATAACATGTCACACGTTTGAGCGCTTAGTGGTATTTTGATTACAGCTGTCGTGTTAAATATGTGCACATTACATGGCAATATCAGCCGTGAAGCGATAACCTTCTAGGATTAAACGGCAATTCCTACCAAAAATCATCATTATCACCACCAAAAAATGACTTGTTAAAAGAAGTGAACAAAAAATTTGTGAGATTTTTAAGACAAGAGCACCTTTTTGCAGTTTCATCAAAGCACCTTTTTTGCGATGTGAATGAAAAGAAAAGCTTGATTCCAAAAAAATGGACATAAATATAAAGAAGAACTTCAAATTTATCCGATCAAAAGAGTCAACGGTTATCAAAATATTTTTCTCATAACAAAGTGCCTGCAGTTTAAATTCTGAACGCTTTATAAATTTTTAAAAAGTCGCCAAGTTTTTCACTCGAACTCACCTGAGAGCATGGAGAAACTCGAAGAATCTTCGCTGAACGAGTTAGTATCCCCAGTCTGCAAACTCCACCCAGTGCCACTGTGTCTACTACCCCCACCACTTCCTCCTCCCCCTCCCCCTCCTCCGTGCCTATTACCCCCCACTGAACATGCACTATTCTGGAGTGACTTCTTATGTAGGGGACTGTTATTCGTGTACAGTTTATGATGGTTGCTGTAATAATATCCGCCACTGTTTCTGTGACTGTTGTTGTTATTGTGATATCCAGGTCCGATATTGTAGCCTGAGTCACTGAAGCCACTCGAAGAGTTGATTGACAGCTCACTATTTGATAGATGACTCATGCCAACCTAAATGCATGATCAGTTTCGAAACTCAAGTACAGAAAAAGTAGTGTCCAAAAAGTAACATCATCATTACAAAGCATATATGAAGTAGAATGATTGAACATTAAACTCGGAACATACTCGGAACATTCTTCGGTACATATTATCAGGGTTTTTAAAGCACAGTTAAACTAATATTTTTTAGTTTTGCGACATCTATCATCGGATGCATTATCCACATTTAACAATTATGAAGGTTAATCTAAGGCTACGGCAACCAATTTACTTGTCAAAGCCAAGATAAAACACAGAGGCAAAGCGGAGCTTCGCACCACCTGCGATAGAAGAAAATCATAGAAAATTGAAAAATGTTGAAAAGAATTAGGTAAACCATAACTTTCGTATGTCTCGATGAAAGACAACTAGGGCCCAGCTAGAGCAACAGGTACGTAATTGGTATTTTTTAAATTTTGTTAAACTGATGCAAGACAAAATGCTTTATTTCAAAATTGTGCTTAGCGCAAAATTCTGTTGTTTCTCTTAAAAATAAGTGAGAAGTGTGTGAAAATTTTAAGACATAACCTTTCCCTTTAAAAAAATTAAGGAGTAGCCACTTCGGCGAAAAAAACTTCGCGCAACCGCTTTTTTAGCTTAAAAGTTTTATCTCAGACTTGATAGGGTAGTTTTTAAAAAAATTCTGAAAAGTTTCTATAAAACGGTCAAAGTCCAAAAACATTTCTCTGCTAAAAGCAGGTCGTGGCCTGTAAGGTAGATCAAATTCCAAAAATCGGGTTTCTCGGTTGAAAACTCAACTTGAGAATTGGCACAAGAGATTTCGAGTATATAAAAAAGCAAACTACCAAGGCAAGCTTCCAACAACCTAAGTCGATTAAACCTATGATATCAGATTTGGCAGGATATTTATCGAGAAAAGTCCAAAAAACGGCCAACAAATCAGAAAGTTGACATTTCTGAGAATCAAAGGTTTTTTGTTTTCAAACAACTGAGCGTAGCCGCTCATAAAGCAGAAATTCGCACAACCTGTAATTTTGATTGGACCCAAAAACCCAGGTTTGGCAAGTGAAAAAGTTTAAAAAAAAACAACAAAAAGTTTGACTTTTCCGAAAGCCATAATTTGTGTCAAAAAACTTTGCGCCTAGTCGCCTATGCAACGAGCTTCTCACAACCAGTTTTTTGAATTGAACCCAAAATCTCAGATAAATGAAGGTATTTTTCGGTAAAAGTCAAAAATTAGATAAAAAATTCTTAAAATCAAAAAAATGACTTATCGAGGATGATAATTTTTTGCGTTAAGCTGAATGGCCACTAATGCATGGAACTTCTCATTATCCGTTATTTCCAAATTCAACCCCCAAAAAAATCTCAGGTTTGTTTTCGACTACAGTTAAAATAAGATTCAAAAAACAGTGAAAAAACCAAAATTTGACTATTCCGAGGGCCATAATCTTCTGAGTTAAAAGTTTGAGCGTAGGCGCTTATGAAGGAAAACTTTTCATATCCATTCTATTCATTGAGACAAAAATCTCAGACTTGGTATTTCTGTTTTCGAGAACGAAAAAAATTCAAAAATATCGGTCAAAAGCAAAAAAGAGCTCAAACAGGTAAACATCGTGAAATATGTAGATTGAAACACACCATGAAAAAAACTATTATCCAGATAAAGATTATCACCTTTTCACATCTGCTCTACGACCGCTGGTAACTGCAAAAAAGCAGCTACAGTTTCTATCACATTGCCAATAGTATGCAGCAGAAATAGACCAAAATAAAACTAATTCAATGTTCCGAATTTGAAAATCCGACCTGTTCATTAGGAGTCTTGCGTCCTCGCATCTGCGCCACGTCGCTTGAAAGTAAACTAGTAGCCCAGCTAATGCTGGATCTTTGTTCTAATAATTTTAATGAAGTTTTGTATAGAAACGAAAATGCATAATTTTGAAAATTCCAAAAAAAAATTGGTTTTACACAAAACCCTAGTGTTTCTCTGCTTCAATAGGGGATTAACTGCTTATTTAAAGAAGAAAAATGAAGTCTTTATCTCAAATTTAGCCAAGTAATTTTCAGAAAAAGTGAAAGAGATTCCAAAAATCAATCAAAAATTCAAAAATGTGTCTTTTCCTGAATCCATAAATTTCATTATAGTTAAGAATGGGGATACTACTTCTACTATTAATAATGATAATGCATTTATTGTCCACTTTTATATTGTGGCAGAGTTGGAACTTCGGAGAGTGCGTAAGCAATGGTTCAGATGAGGGCATTCAAGCTATTTAATCGAGAATAGCACGTTTTTCCACGCTAATCGATTGTGAATTTGAGGCCCAAAGTATTCAGGTCTCGTTTAACACAACCGATCTAGCGTTTTTCAGGCATTCCTGCTGGTCTTTTCCCTGTATCTGTTGTTTTGAGCGTATAGAAATTTTCTCTTGTAGCTTATCCAGATCAACAATACCTGTCATTTTCATTACGGCTTCGTTTGTAACTCTGACTCCTGTAATCCTGAGCTTTCATATCTGCACTCTTAAAAGAGCTGGATACTGCCTTGGTCTGCAGCCAGGTTTCAGATCAGTACATCAGACACTTTGTAACCAAATCAACACCTTTATTCAGCAGCAGAGGCGCAAATTACCTCAATTGTTTCCAGAAAGCTGCTATTCTGCCCTATGATGCACTTATTGCGTCACTTTCATCAGAAATCATATCACCCAGAAAGCAGAACTCTTTGAGAGGACTCAGGGTTTCAAATTGATTGATCCGTGGAGTAGCATTCTGATTTGAGCAAAAATTAGAAGGATTATTGCATCTTGGACAAATATAATTAGTATTATTTTGAGGTATTTTTCTCAGACCACTGCAACTTTCATGCACCCATTGATTACAAGAATCGCAGAGTTATGAATTTGCGCCGACTCCCTTTAAGCAACAAGCGCATTTATATTTTCTGGTTTTTGCGACATATTTCTGCCCTGGAATCCAAAGCTTTACTTTATCCACTTTGATTTTTAAACCGCGTTATTGCAAAGCCTTGTTCCAATTAATAAACTTTTCAATAGGCTGGGATTCTGTTTCAGCAGGTAACAAGTTCAACTGCATATAGCATATCCCATGGTGCCATAGAATGGCCGTTTCTTGTAGCCTCTTCCATTAGTAGTATAAATAACAATAGGCTAAGTGCCGATCCCTGATGCAAGCCTACTTTAATTTCAAAGTAATCACTGCATCCTTGAGGCCGGCGAACTCTGGTTTTCAACTCGGTGTACAAACACATGTTTAGTCGTACCCGATTTTCAGTAACTCTCTGGTGTCTTAGAGCCTAGGGGATCAGCTCCCTGGGAACACCGTCGAAGGCATTGACGCAATCAACAATTATGTGATGCATGGATTTTTCTTTTCCGCAAATAGCTCTTTCAATTGTCCAATAAGAAAAACTATTTTTATTAATTGTCTCAGACGTGTTTCTGGTACTCTTTCGAAAATTTTAAAAGCAAGTTCCAGTAATCTGATGCCTCTGTATAATCCACATTCTAACAGTTTCACTTTCGCTCCAGTCGGAAGGGATAAGACCGGATTCTAACACTTCCTCAAGGACTTCAAAAAATCCAGCAAGTCCACAATTCCTGGCTCATTTTAGCCTCTCCTTTCCACACCAATAATTTTAGATTGAAAACTCCCGCACCTTGATTTTTTACATTGAAACCTTAATATATGATTTAGCTAGTAGTTTTCTCGAACAAAACGTCTCAAAAAACGGTAAAAATTAAAGCAAGAATTTTTCCGAAGTCTATATCAGCTTTTCTAAAAAAAATAACAGGGTAAAACAGATAACGCAGGAAATCTCTAAGCACCATGTTTGTTTAAATGATATATCAACCTCAGAATCAGCAGGTTAGTTTTTGAAAAAAAAACTTTCCAAAAAACGGGCAAAATTTCCTGCGCGTCGCAAAAAAGAACGAAAAACAACAAACCTCATATCTTTTCATAATACATGTTTTTTTTCTAACAGGAACTAACATTAGCCAAAAATAAAGCAGCAACCTATGCCATTAAATTAATTATGCTTAATTAAGCTTAAATATTATTAAATTGAAACTTTTATTTGCGACTTGGGTTGGAAAAAAATCTTTGTGATAATACACTACGCTTCGCTTGTTTAAAAAAATCGTAAAAATACACTACGCTTCACTTGTGTAAACAATATTTAATACTTGTAATTACTCAATGATGCTTAAATACCAACCTCGTTTAGACTAGAGTGGGAATCTCGTCCTGCTTCGCGATTGTTGTTGTTGTTATTATTATTATGACTATTCGCATTGTTGATGTTGGTTTGGCTGGTGGCCACCATTGCCGCCGATGCGTAACGAGCAGGCAGAGAGGGTCGCTTTATTGCTTGGATTGCTGAGTCAGCTGGATCCTGGAACAAAAACAGAAGCAGTACAACCCTCTTTGTCAGGTAACCGAAGTTGTTATTTGCACTCTTTCTTGCATGCAAAAAATTCACATTAGATATTTATCTGTTGAAATTTTACATCATCCATTATTTTACGTCATCACGATGGGAATTCTCTAGCTCTCAATGTAAACATATTTTACCCGAATTTCTAAACAAAAAACGTTCCCTATAATTTCAAAGTGCAATTGAATTGGCATACAATATCATAATGAGATTCATGAACTTACACAATTTAAATGATCACCAAAGATGGGCTTCAAAAATTAGGTCAAAAAAGGGTCTTTATAGTGATTTGGGGAAAATCAATTTGGTCGACCTCAAAAAGGTCGACAAAATTTTGTTTTATTTTGAAAATCCGCCCTCTCGAAAAAATTCTAGATCCAGCCCTGGCCCCTGCTAACTGCAATTTGCGAGTTGAGATCTAATAAGATAGCCATAACTCAGTGAACAGTAAATAATTAGCCTCCTGGATATGCGATTTGCTGACACCATGAAAAAATTTCAAGCTGCTAAGACTCGAAACGCATATTCAAAAACTTGGGAAAAACGCCAAACTAAGTCTAAATCGAATCTCCAAATTTTGCGAAAAAAGGTAAAGGATGCCGCATAACGTGTTATTTTTTAAAAGCAATAACAATTTTCTTTCACGGACATTTCAAATTTTCTATTCTCTTAATTCGTTCACGTCATCTCATGGCTGAATACAAGATCTTACAAAATTAAACATGATAAATATCTGCTCGCCATTTGGGATACAGAAACGTAACTCAGAATTGAGCCTAAAAAATTTGACTGTAGAACATCAACATATCTTTCAAAAGATTACAAGTATTAGTACGATCTAGTCAATTTCCTACACTTATGATTCATAAAAGCTATCTTGACAAATCAAACCATGTAAATGAAACATATGCCAAGAATGAGGAAAATCTGAAGAAAATTTAGGCCAAAACACTTGCATTCATATTTTATAAATTCAAAAAAATCATAATTTCAGGTGCTTCAGTATTGCTTTCTTCGGAATAGAAAAGAATGCTAAGAAAGAACAAACAATACGAAAAAACTTACGGGCATTTTTTCTATTCCGCTGGGATCCTTAACCATGTTAGACTTACCAAAAGATCAAGTTATGTATTAATTTCAATCAATATTTTTGGTGAGGGTCATTTGAGTTTACCTGGAAAATTGACAAAGAACAGACAGTTGGATAAACGTTACCGCTTAAAAAAAGAACGATTGCTTAAAATTCAGAAGAGCCAGTTGCTGAAAGCACATCTACAGTTATTAGAGAACAGAACAATAATTAGTATAAAAACGAAAATACTCCAGTTTTTCCCAATACTGGAATTCTACTGTCTTCGAACTTAAAAGAACAAGAAACCGACCAAATCAAAAACACTTGAGCTTTAATTTGATACCGAACTTGTTGTTTCCTATGATTTATCCTCATAGGGAAAAACATACTACGCCACAGGGGCGGACACCCCCCCCCCCCCCCCCCCCCTCAAGGATTCCAACCCCTGCCGACCCAGAATTTTCAAAATTTTGCCTGCGGAGCAGAAATTTTGGCCAAAACAGGGTCTTTGTAGTGCTTTGGGAAAGCTCAGAAAAGCAATTTGGTCGACCTAAAAAAAATCAGCCCCCCTCGAGAAAATCCTAGATCCGCCCCTGCTACGCCATAGCTCGATCGGGACACAAAACTAGCGTACTCATCACAATAAAGCTATTTTGAATATCTATACGTGAACGTACTTTATCCCTCAAAACCTATAAATTACGGCTAGTCACGGGCAGATTAACAAACAACACAAAAGGTTCCGAAATCTTTGAAAATTACAAAAATTCGGTTTAGATTTGCAAAATTATCCGTACAAAAATCTGAAAGCTTGAGTCACCAATACATTCACAACCCTATATTCGAGTCTATAGGCAATTCTGTTTATTAGAGCAGAAACCTGCAACTATATGAATAAGATCCCACAACGATCAACGCAAACTTTGACTGATTGAATATGTCAATTTTTGACTGGTTTTGAAAACAAAGCCTTATACGTACAAACGCTCCGAGGCCAAAAGTCAAGACTGCTTGTACCAGGGCTCTGCCATGAATATATTGACACGCCTATAACGACTACGAGAAACTTTTTGATTCACGAAACTTTTTTCAGAAGTTTGGATTTTTTCCAGACTTTCTCAAAAATCTTCCTCCATAAGTTCTGCAGAGAACAGAGATACATTCAACATACGAAAAAAAAGCTTGCAGCCTTTCAATTTGGATCGATTTCTGCCACGGATTAAATCTCCGCTCACTCGTTAAAAACACGAAATATATCGCGCGTTAATTGTCCCAAATTGAGAATTTTCGAATCCCATAAGTACGTCACAAAAACAAACATAGGCGCAAAAAAAACTTTCAAAATTCAGCTTAGTACGGAAAAAACTTTGCACAAAAGTTTACTCTCTAATTTTATATTAAGATCAATTATCCACGAGAGATAGGACCAACATACGAGCTGTACAGCTAATCACGGCGGACCGCTGTTGTGCCCCTGCTTAAGAACTACATGCAATTTTTTAGGTTATTTTTTCTGGGCTGGGTAATGTTGCCTCACTCTCAAGCAACGAGCACGGTGGGCCTCGAACATCCGACCTTTCGATTGAGAGGCAGAGACGTAACCACTTCACCACTGCTCCCCTTTGAAACAGGAATGATCGTATCTGGACAAAGCCATGAAAGTTCCGCCCTTTAACGTCTATGGAGTTAAGTCCTTTTTCAAACAATAGATATAACTTTTAAAAAAAATGAAAATTTTTTCAGTTTTTTTTGAAAATTTTGAAAACCATCCCCGAAGTACAAAGCGATTTCTTTGGATTATAGCTAAGTATCAAATTGTCCCAAATGATATGCCTTAATTGGAAAGAATTCTAAAACGGATTAAATCTCCGCTAACGCGCTAATAGCGCAATATCGCACGTTAGACATCCCAAATTTGAACCCCTATAATGTAACAAAAAACAATCACAGCTGAAACATTTTTAAATTCTAGCTCAGGACAAAAAAGCCATTCGGATGATATGAATAAGTATCTTCACAAGTCGCTACGTAAAAGTCGAAATTGGTCTAAAAAGAAAACCGCGCAGCGCACAAAAATTTTGTTACTTTCATCGAAAATTGGAAAAACCAATCTTTTAGAGATAAACCTAAATAAATGAAAAATCACTTGAAAATTAGACGAAATACCATATAAACAGAATTTTTTTTGCTATTCCGGATAGTTATAGTACTTACGCAATATTCTTCTGAGCGAAATAACTGATATATAAAAAAATTTCTTAGCGCCATTAACTGATAAATGAATTACAAATTATTTATGGGTGAGCTCCAGCTTCAAATTTCGTATTGCTGAATTAGTACAAACAAAATGACAATTTAGCCTTATCAGCTCACTGCAAACTATCAATTTCTTCGAAACCGCAGTCAATTCATATCATGATATGATATTGCACAAACTGTACTAAATAAGAACCTAGATCGTTCAAATTTATCCAAGATACTCTCTGAAAGTAGATTTAACCGCGAAATGACCTTGGTGCAAACTTTAATTCGATACTAATACGGATAACATGAGGTCATGACACACAACATACTGTTACCACGTTAGGCGAGCAACACTCGATACCCTCAGGACTCTAAATTCTTACGAGGACAACTTCTAATTTTTCTTTGAAAACACTTCGAAAATAAATTTTATTGCTTGTTTAAAAACTTTGAAAATAATTGTTATTGCTTGTTGAAAAAACTTTGAAAATATAATTTTATTGCTTGTTGTATATTATCTAAGAGAAGAGGACACTACTCGGTAACACTTCAAAGCTAAATCTGCTGAAGTTTTTAGCACCCAGTATGCAACCAATGAACTCATCGCCAGAAGAAACGGGACCGAAATCAGAGCCGAGAGCCACAGTCCTGTGATGAAATACTGCGTGGCTCCCCCGCCATTTCCGAAGTGGTTGTCGTGGGGTTGTTGTTGAGCTAGGGTTAGTGACCCACAGATTAGAATTAAGAGGGTGATGAATGGGAGGAAGAATATCTGAAGGCCTTTGATTACTCCTGCTTCATTGTATAAATCGCGTTCGTGTCTTATTTAACAAACAAATACACGCTGATACTTAGAGTTTTGACCCAAATAGTCTAATTATATGACAGCCAAAAAAATAATTAGTTAACCCAGCAACTATAAATAGCAAACTTAACAACTTACCTATAAAATGATTAACAATTAGTCTTTATCAGGGGCGGATCTAGAAGTTTCTCGAGGGGGAGGGATTTGGGATTTTAAAAAATCGAAAATCTTGTCGACCTTTTTTTAGGTCGACCAAATTGATTTTCCTAGCTCTCCCAAATCACTATAATGACTCCATTTTGAGTCTTTATTGGTTTTACTTATTAAAGGCTGCTGGCTGAAAAAAGGAATCTTTTTCAGGTTTGGAAGAGAGGTAATGCGTTCATTTAGGTATGGATTTTGAATCGGCAGATTGTAATGTTATATCGCGTCAGTTTAAACTAACAGAAGCAAAATTCTGCGCCTTCTATAAAAAATACTTTCAAAGCAAATCATTCCTCTCAGATTTTTTTTAAAACTCGAAGCGTGTATTTGCAAATTCGTTATATTCACATGGGAAACTTCTCGGCAAAGTAGCAACAAGGTTTCTTCCACAAATACACAACCCAAGACTGACACCAATGCAGAACAACTTCAACTACTGTCAACGCCAGAACCAGACCGAAGTTCGAATCATTAACTGCAAACTCTCTTTGCTTAACCAACTTCAACGACACTTTAAATTCACCAACAGCACTAGTCTCAATATCTCCAAAAATTTGTTCACTCTTATTAGTGGGTATAAAAGTTATTCCCGCGTAAAATAGTGCGAACTGCATGTCACATAAAACATGGTGCAATAAAGTTAACAGTGCACTAATAGTAGCCAAATGATGCACGGGTGCAAGGCGACCAATTCCTGGTTGATAAAAAGGTCCCCCGAATGCAGGTCTCGGGTTGGTTAAATTGGGTTGCATTGGCAGGGGTAGAACAGGGGAGAATCCGTTTTGTATTTGTAGCAGTCCTGTGGTTGTTTGTGAGTCGTTTTGACTCGAGTATCCGCGGTGTAATCGGTGTTGTATTCGGTTCAATTGTCGCAAGTAGCACGAGAAAGAAACGAGAGCTAACACTGGATGGCAGACACCCGGTTCAAACAAGGTAAAAAACTGGAAAAAATACAAACCGATAATGGATGCAAAATCCAATACACTCAATCGTCTCAATTCATTCATAAATTACGTGAACACAAAACAAAAAAAAACAGTTTCGAGCGCATGTTTTAAGAAAGAGTCACCTTTATTCATTATTAAGCAGTCCTAACAGGTCAGATGACCTTTTTAGAAATCTTTTCCCTTTTTGTTTTAGCAGGCTCTTTCATTGAACCCAAAATAGCAAATCTGCATTTATCACTTCTGTCAATTAACACCGGATCTACAAAACAAAGGTGAGATCAAAGAATTCTTCCGATTTCCCTTTCATCATTTTTGACCCTTTGCCCAGGCTGAACTTAGTGAGCTTTTATTTTTCATGTTCTTTCTGACCTTTGAGCACTGACTTGGAAAAAGTCAAAAGTTAAGAGCTATTTTCTTTTTTCTCGTTTGAGCTGCACATGTAAAAAAAATGATGAGAAAGCTGCAGAATTTGAGCATTTATAAAACAAAAAGATAACCAACAGACAGTTGGAAAAATCTCAATTAACGCATGGAAACCCAAAACAAAATTTTACTTAAGAAAAAAAATTGTTATCTAAACTTCATGTTGATTTTGGATAGGAAAAGCAATCTATCAATGAAAAATAAACAAAAAAGCGGTTGAGTTTCTAGAAAAAGTTATGATTGGCACTTTTTTGATAATTTTAAACCAATTTGAGAAAACTGGATCAACAAGAAAAAATTCTATTTGCTAGGAAATCTGAAAAATGAAATTCCACTTTCGAAACTAAAAGTCGGTCAGGTCTTTCGTGACTTTTACACTTTTGCTGTTTGATAGTGGAGTATGCCTTCTTTCGAACAAAGGAAATACGGAACTAATACAAAAAATCGAAAGTCATAAATTTTAGCCAAAACGAAAAAAAAACCATCGCGACCTATATAAGAGTCTGAACTACGTTCATCGAATCTAAATAAAATCGTCAAAATTCAATAAAGAGCGACAAAATAGAAGCTTTTACTAGAGAAACAAAATGAATACGATCTTTGGCTGATAATTTAAAACTACCATAACAATTAACTTCTGTAGCAGCAAAAGATTTGGAATTGAAAAAATCATCATGAAAAGAAAAACTAAAGAACTCGATCATCTTTCACTGATATTTAAAACTATCACAACAATTAACTTCTGGAGTAGCAGAACAATTGGAATTGGACAAAATACTTACAACACTGTAAAAATCCGTAACAAAATAACTAAGCCGACCAAACATTAGCAGACACACAACAAGTTCACATATTTTGAAACTGGAAATTTCCTTTTTGAATAAAAACGCCAGGTTCTGGCCAGATTTGAACAAAGGACATCTACCACCTCAGGCAGAGTGCTTTTCTCAAAAACCAAATGTACTAAGATAGGTTCAATTTGATTTACGCAAAGCTATCATTTGATTTAAATATTTTGTTAAATAAGAAAATTACGTGATGCGGCAACTGCCGACAAAACAATCAGAAACGATAGGCCGAAAATTTCTTTGAAACGGAAAAATTTGACTTTTAATAAATAGACCTGCCTGGATTTGAACCCAAGACCTTTGCCGTCCCAGACGTGGTTGTTACCCAGGTTTGGCCAAAAATCCGAGAAGCGTAAAAATATAATTGGTTGAGCTATGAAAAACTAAACTATATCAAAGCGCATTTTTTTTTTTCGGTTATTGGAAAGCAACATTTGAGCTGTGCTTTCAAAACGAATATCGAACCACAAAAAAATTGAGCATGGCATAAATTACTGCCTTGATACGCAAAAAAAACACCGAAGAAAAATGATAGTCGCACTGCTCATTGCTTCTGGAAAAATAATCGGGTGACTGCCTTTACCAATATGCACTGAAAACAAGGCCACGTCCAGAAGCAACGAACACATTGAGTAGAAGCAAAACTGATGATCGAATTTCGCCTTCAATTCAAGAATAACATACAGTTGCATCGCAATATTCATAACAGCTAACGATAGCAAAAACATCTGGAACCCGCAACGTAACACAAAGCGTAGCCCTGTAGCTCGAAAAGGCGAAAAATCTTGATAATCTTGTGAGCTTTTATGGCGTATTAATTGTCGTAAAGGCGATGGATGAGAATTAGAGCTATGGCCTTTTTCATAGTCTTCGTGGTCCTTAATTTCATGACTGGTCGATTCAACCTTTCCATTCATTGGAGTTACTCTTGGGCTGTCGAGTAAGCCACGTGACAACTCTGAAGTTTGCAAACTAGTAATTTCTTCGCAGTCTAATGATAAACAATAATTACTAGTCTCATTTATTTCAACAACTGATTCAGTTTGAGGGTTTGCAATTGTATCGATAGGTATTAAACTGCTTTGGCCTGATAATGGTGCGCGATACTTTTTCTTTTTCGATTTTATTTTCGCTTTTTCTGGTGAAATAACAAACCAGGCGGCAACATTGACTGCAATTTCAAAGCTCCAATCCGGCATAATCCAAATGGTAACGGTCAACAAAGTTGCAATTTGTGGATAGAACAATTTGTGGGTAGAACGAAATTTCAAACGAATTCAAATAACTAGATGCCTTTTGAAATGAAAATTTACAACACTTAATATGAAAAAGGAAGCAAAATTCAATAATGCGAAGACTTTACATCTGCTTTAGATTTGGTGAAAAGAGGCGGCGTAAAGGTGACATTTTAGCCCCTTAGTCAAATGTCAAATTTCTAACAAAATAATTGCAAAAACTCCCAAGGCTATTTCAATTTTCCTTCACAAAAAAGTGTCTTTAAACCCAGGTGTTCAAATTTAAGAATTCCACTTAACCTTAAAGAAAAGCAAGTAAGTTAAGACCGCTTTAGAGTCTTAAAATGAATATGAGATTAAAAAACATCGACGTAAATTCTCAACAAAGGAAATAGCCGGGGGGAAAATTCAATTCCAACGCTATTACATTCGAGATTTTAAGAATCAATCTACAGTTTTCTAGTAAGAATTCACAGTTACAAAATGATTTCACGATCCTGTTCACGTGATAAATGGGGCTATTCAACTCTTTTTCCATGTGCTGTAAAAATGCTAGTTTTCGGAAAAATTATGCTAATGGTAAAGGGATAGGAAAGCCAATTTAAGCTAACCCAAAAAAAATAACCTAATACATTTTTACTGGGTAATGGGAAATGATACTAAAGTAAGAATGGAGGTTGGTGATTAAAATGAAAAAGTGTGAAGTGTGTCGAATAGAGGCTAACTAGGGATAATTTTTTTCTGATTCAATTCCATACTTTCATTATGTCGAGTTGAATTTCTATATCTGACTACTTCTTAGCTAGGTGTTCATACAACGGAGTGGTACTAATAACTAAAAGGCAAAAAGTCTTCCTTTAAAAGAACAAATTTTCCCAATTGAAGATGCTTAAAAAGTCTACGATTTCATCTATAAAATGGATCAATTTATGAATTCTAAACCGACTTCTCAGCTTTTCTATTTTATACTATTTTAAACATCTTTTAAGAAATTCTAGTAGTGTAACGCACGAAAAAAATGGCAGATAATTAATTTACGAGTTATTGTTTCTCACAAAAAAAACTCGGACAGCAAAAAGCAATTCTACCGTAAAACAATTCGGATAGCTGCATTATGATAATTCTCTGAGGGTGAAAATTACCAAAAAGGGACAAGTCCCCAGGCAATTTAGTCCAAGTATCAGCTGTCTTGAGAAGCTCACTACCCATTGGGAAAAAGTGTGGAAGGCAAGTACTCTTTGGATGGTCAAATAAAGGACTGAAGAAGTGTGAACAAAGTCCACATGCTGCTTCAAAAAGCCTGGAAGCGACTCTAAAAATTGCTCAAAAGTATTGGAAAAAGTCTGGAAGCGACAAGAAGTTGAAAACAAAAACGCTGGAAAAATGACTGAAAACTTGGATCAGCGTGATAAAAAAACGACTAAAAATTTCAAGAATAAAACATGTTGAACTATATCACATTACTGACGGAAAAGTGTTTGAGAGCAAAATAGTACCGTCAGCTTCCAATAATAAAAAAAAATGGAAACAATTAAATTTCATCTCCAATGAATTATGCAGAACAGATGAAAAAGCTCATTCAAAATTTACGAAAAAACTTCAACCTACTTGACTTTAGAAGCATCATTCTAAACAACTATCATCAATCGTAAAATAAAGAAGCTAATGCCACCCCACATACAAAAATGGTTAAAACTTTTTTGAACAGTCAATTAAATGTGGTGTTTAAAAAGCCTCAGCAGCTTAAAACTGCCGCTATCACTTCAACGCTTACGCAATATCAATTTAGAAATTACGCATTTAGTTTTAAAAAAAGAACAGGAAGAATTGAAATTTCGGTAAAACTACACCGCCAATCCTAAGACGAAATGAAAACTCAAATGAAATAACAACAAAAATATTCAGTTTTAATAATTTTTGACTGAAAGGAGATTATGATCAGAGTATACTTTGTTCTTATTTCGTGCCAATAAATGGACCTACAACTACCTAACCTATGGCACATTAATAAGCATAATCCATACACCCAGATCGACCACAAGGGTACTAACAGCCATATTTACAAAACACAACCGGGTGATTTTTGTCTGCTCGTTTTGATCTCAAATCCAGTTTACGCGTAATAGAAAATAAATTTATTATCACAAGAATGCTAGGCCCCAGAAGTGCTAAACACTTATGGATCCAATTAAAGGTAGAGTTATCCCATTTTCAACAAAATTATGTCCAGAAATCACAAATGATTTGAGTCGAATGTGCAATGAACTCTCCAAGGTGCACTTACGGTTTTATTTATGCAATTATGGCAGACTGAAATAAAAACCTATCGACTCAATGTTAGAACCAGAGTAAAAATTCAAAGAAGCTAGCATGTAACGCACCTCCGGTGCTTCGAATTTATGACAACTCATAAAAAACGGCATATAATGGAAATAAAAATTGCATCCTTTGAGTGTACTCTGACAGAACCCAAGGATTACACAGGGTTGGTAAATTCAAGTTTTGTAAAGTTAGTCAAGTTCATTTTTAATTCAAATTTTGAAAAACCATACAATTTTTTTTATATCAGTTCATTGAAAAATTTTAAAATGACAGAAAAACGTCACATCTCGATAAACTAAAAGCAAATGAGCAGTCGCATTTGGACGCAAGATTTGCAACTTCTGAGAGTACTGCAAGTGCCATATCCCGAAAACTACAAAAAATTCAGCACTTATATTAGGAGGCAAGATTCGCAAACCCTTGAGAGTACTCTGACAACCCCCAACTTCAGGGTTAGGAATTCCACAAATTTTGAAGAAAACTTGGTTTTCTATAAATTTTTTTTTCGAAAAAATCATAAAACATCAAGAAAAAACCCTGGGAGTGCCCTGATAAAGCATCACCAGAGATGGGAACATCAGAAAACTTCTAAATCTAAGTTCTTTGAACAATTAAGAAAAACACTACAAACGTCACAGCTCGGAAACAAAAAGCATTAGAGCAGTCGAAATGGGACGCAAAAGTGCAACATGAAGAAGCTCCTGAGAGTACCCCCAGAGTACCCAACTACAAGGTTCAGAATTTCAAATCATTTGAAATTTTAAAAATCCAAGTTTTCTGAAAAATTTAAAAGAAATCATAAAACACTTCATATCTCGAAAACTACAAGCATTGAAGCAGTCATAATTGGAGGCAAGATACGCAACCCCTGAGAGTACTCTGACAGTCCCCATTACAGAAGTAAGGTTTTCTAAAATTTTTTGAAAAATCTCAAAAATTGCCGTATCTCGTAAACTAAAAAGATTTGGTTACTCATATATGGAGGCCAAAATCGCAACACCTGGGGAAGCTCTGACAGCATCCCAATATTGAGTTTTTAATTTCAAGCTTGGTAAAATAAACGCTGAATTCAAACCGGAAAATCGATTTAAAAAAATCTTAACCATTGCAATATACGATATAGCTTAAACGTGAAAAAATTCTTTTGTTAAACATGCAAAAATAATACATTGAAAAAGCTTAAACATGGAGAGTTAGTGAAGCCCTCATTTAAATATATAATAGATTCTAACAAACTACGCCATATTATGCTGGCGGTTAGCTCTTCCGCACTGTTCGAGATCAGTCGGAACATAAAAAGTAAGCTTGTTAATAGAATTAACTACACGTATAACTTCAGGTAGTTATAAAAAGGCTTGCGCCAGTACCAAAAGGACTAAATTTTAGTCGTAAAATTCAATTAATTTGAAAAGTGCAGTTCAAAGCAGCTAATAACTTACTTTGAAGGAGGACAGCCGAGCTCAAAAATTCCAATGCGATACAGAATGAAGAAACCAAGCGAACAGAGATTCAGAAAAAAAAACGCCAACGAACTCGTGGAGACTGGAAAAAAGGCACTCTGTGGGAACATTTTAAACTGAAGAGTGTGAGTTATTAGTCAGTTATTTCCACAATCTGCCTTAAAACCACTTCCTACATACGAACTACTTTTGCAATTTGGAAAAAAAAAGTGATTATGTATATCTGTTTATTAAGAGCGACAAAATTTTGGAGATTGATGGGTTAAATGTCTTAATAATGAAACTATTAATTGAGTTTGAAAAAATGACACTATTTCGAAACAATTTAACACAAAGAGTGAGTTATGGGTAATTTACAAAATCTGTTTTGGCTAAGACGAAGACAGCGAAAGTCAAACATCATAAATTAGAAAAGCTGTATAAATATCTTCGCAGAACTCTATTTTCCCAAAGAAAATATTGAAAACAAAGCAGACAGTTTTTTAAGCGGGAAGTCTAATTTTTTAACTCTAATTATCTCAAAGTAAAGCAGAGAAATTGGCAGATAAAAAAAAAATAAAAAAAACTTTGAAATATTTTTTTGAATAATGAAATAAACAATTTTATAGTTGAATATTTATAATGCAATGTTCTCCCTCACACACATTGGGTCGAAAACGAAACAACGGAAACAAAGAACACATAATTAATTGGGCGTTTAGAAAATCAATCAAAAAATCGCCTAACGAAAATAAACCATCCACTGCATGAAAAGTATCCCAAAAATATAATTCGACACTAAGTATCAATTTCGACCAATGCGTCAAGCTGCAAATAAAAAAAAAATAGACTTTATTCGACTTTAATTACACAACCGTATCAACTATTGTGTTTTGAATTAGAAAAACGAAAAAAAAACTGAATTCGAAACCTGAAGCAATTCGGTCAGATGCATGTGGTCAAAAACGCCCAACCGCTCTTCGCAAAAGTCCATTTACCAGAAACCAAATCGGTGCAATAAAAGTTGCTAAGGTATTCGCGTGACGGTTAAACCTCGCATATATTTCTTAAGGAAGGTACTTATTAAGCTTTTCGCACTAGCCCGATAATATATTTCGACAATCAATTCTGGGGAAAACATAATTGGAAAGCCACAAAAACACATGAACCACGTGAACAAATTTTGTAGTGAACTTACAGACCGAAAGTACACGTGAAATAAATGCCCTATATACTGGAGATAACGAAGTCGTTCAAAAACCAGTGTTTTTATTTAAAAACTGTAAATGTGCTCAAATGAAGAGATAATTAGAATGACCGGTAGTAGAATTAGGAAAAACTATACTGTCGAGTTCAAATATAATAAAAAAATTCTACAATTCAAAATAAAAGTAAACTTCAAAGAAAGGATCTGGGGTTTTTTCAAAGAAAAATCAACCCATTTATTACAGCAGGAGTATTTTGAATTCGTTGCAAGTTACTTGCTGGTATGAAAAGTTAAAAATAAAAAGGAGACCCAAAATTGATCAACGGCGAAGAAATTGAAGTGACGTATGTGCGTTGCATTTTGATTAGGTAATAAGTTAGGCTAGTGATTATTTTAGGACCAGGGTTGAAAAGATTAAAACAGCAAAGGCTGTTGAGGCTTCCTGCCTACACAGTTAAGTCCGCTCGACCGCTGACTTCACTTATAGACGGCCAGAAAAAAATGACAGCAGAAAATTTTAGACACTATTTACCGCTAAAATATCAGTAAGCAGCACAGAGTTTAGCTGGAATGGAATCTTACAGAAAATGATTTTTTTTTTCAATTTAATGAGAAAATTATTTTATAATTGAGGCGACAACCTTATCTGCATAATCCGGCCCGAAATTAATCACAAATTCAGAGAAGTACGATTAATTTGAGTGGTAAAAGAATGGTAATATTTCCAACCAGTAGTATAAATTGTACCCTACAACAGTCAAATTTGTCATCCGCTGCGGATGCAAACGACGAATTAACCATTGAAAATTAATCCCAGACAAGAGACGTATATAACATCCTTGACAATTTAATTTCGAAGCTAAAAGTGGTCTTATGCGTGTTCGGGAACTAATCCAATATTCAAATTAGACCACAAAGAATAGAGACAGGGTAAGACCA